ATAATAAAGACCATATCTCTTTTTTTCATTCACCTGTATATCAACACCATCTAAACAGTACCTGGTACACAGAAGGCACACAGTAAGAACTGGTTAAATAAATTAATGAATTCTAAATGCCATAAAACTAATTTAAAATTATTGAATGACCCTAAGAAACCGTAAGTAGGTTTTAAGAAACACATGATTCTAGATTAAAAAATGTTTGAAGACAATAAATAAATTTCAAATACTGTCTTAATAAATACTGTTATATTACTCCTTGAAAATCATTATTATATAGCCACCATTATTTTTAAGAAATAAAATTTAAGATTTTTAAAAAGTGCTAATCTCTTGTCAATAAGTCTATTTCTGGTTGGATAAGGAAACATACCTGATTAGTCACTAATACCTAATATCAAAAATAATAAACAATCACTTTGTGATTTTCTATGACACAAAAGAATGACATCCATACAGCTCAAAAACAAAGAAAAATCAGCTTTCTTCATGTCAATAACAAACATGAAAATAAATGATTCTCCAAGAATGTCATTTAAAAAAATATACTCCATTCTGGGAGAAAAGAAAGATGAATAAACAGGAATAACAAAGCAATCTATCTATAACCTGAAATCATGATGAAAAGTTGATTGGAAAAATACTAGAAATAGAAATATTAGGGAAAGTAAGCAAGTGAATTCAGTGTATTCCCCTCAAAGAGTCAGTCTGGATAGTTTGTCCTTTATTGCTCAGATCAGAAAAGATTATACAAAATAGCTGGAAAGAAACATTCTCTTAACAATGTCACCTCACTGGTAGTAGATTTGAATACTTGCTACTTTTCAATTCTGGTATGATATTTTACCAAAGTTATTAGACAATGACAAAAATGTTGCATGTATTAGCAGGGTTATTTTGGGGATGAAACGAGTAAAAATTCAGTTACTTATAAAATCTGAAAAACTTCAGACATTTTATAACTTAAAAAAGAAAAATTTAATACAACTCCAAACACAAGCAAGATTAGAAACTGGTCAAGTATAGGAACATTGCACATTATGTTTCTATAATGTGTTTCTATGTATAGGAATGACTATGAAATTGTCATTTCTAGTAATTTTCTTCTATAAACAGCAATAGTCACTGCTAGAATGGATGCTTGAAAACTTAACAGAAATATTTCTTCTAAATATTCTAATCTTCAAAACAAATGGTGGTTGTCAAATTCTTACTGCATAATCTAGAATGGTAATCCACGTACTGTATTTCACTTGTAATAAGTCTTTGTAGTAAGGTTAACACTTCAACACACAATACAAATAAAGAGAGCTCCAAAAAATGAAAATTACTTTGCTTCTGCTTCTGTATTAGAATTTTATTTGCTAAAGGGTAAAAACAGATTTGCAAAATTCACAGTTAACTTAAAACAATAGTTTTAAACCTTTATTCCTAGCCCTTACTGCCTTCAGGAAGGAGAGAACATCTGGTTATTTAAGGAACACAATATGTTCACATTTTCTATGACTTTTGTTTCTAATTGGGCTTTAAAATTTTTTTTTTGAATTTGAACAACTAGCTAGAACAATGTTTTTTAATCACTTCATATTTTTTCAGACTGTCCTCCTTCTATCCCTCTAACTTCATTTAGTGGATTGTTTCTGGAAATCTGCTCAGTAGTTCTAATATGATAAAGAAAAGAAAGTGAAAATTAGAATTGTGGCCTGAAGAACTAAGTATAGAATCTGTATTTATGTCGTGCAGGGTAGAGAATGGTACAAATAGATATTTGACATCCAGTGTTGTCATAAAGTACATATTTCATATAGTTCTTGGACCACTTTATATACAAAAAGTTTCACTTACTATAGCTACAAATAAATGTTTATCACAAATACTTTATATGAGAAATAGATAAGCAAGATACCACTAGTTGTAACACAACAAAGCTTCTATAGTTCTTGTGTAGAAAGATGGCCTAAGATCTGAGTTCAATTGCTGACTCTGTGACCTAATAACTCTCCTGAGCTTCACTCTGATTATCTTATTAAACTATGAAAGGAGAAGACAAAATTAGACTGTCTAGGCTCTTTATACTTCTGAAATTGTGATAACCCAAGTGAGGTATATTAATTAAGTGAGGTATATCATTGCTATATCTTCTTTGTCCCACAATATCTGAAGGTGATAACAGATTTCCAGATAATTCTAACACAAAGGAAATTAAGAAACTATTGATATTCTTTTAAGTTAAAATTGTGGGGCTAATTTACCATCTTGATAAAAATGGAAGCTATGGCTTTTGTGGACTATGGATGTGGGTTCCAGAAATATGCCAGGGGTGAGTGAAGTTTACCTAGATTCAAGTCACAGGAGCACAGTATCTGAAGCAGAAATCAATTCTATTGTTATTTTCTTAATACCGAGCACATGTAGGATATGCAAAGCTAAGCGCTAAAAACCGAGCAGGTGTCTTAAGGAGAAATGATTGGTAGAACAAATATGAACAAAGATAAAACACAGGTGCTGTGCAAACTTGAAGGGAAGGAAATATCCTAAAGGAAGCTGGGAATGATTTTATGAAAAAGGTAAGATGGATGATAGAAACCTAAGGAGGCAAAGAGTAGGAACAGGATCAGGATTTTTTAGAAGATATGGGTAGGGGTCTTAGTATTAACTTTCTCTCTCTTTTATTCTCCTTAGCATAAATGGCCTCTTTTATGACTATCATTAACAACAATTACAATGAAAATTGTACTTGTAGATTTCTATAGTATAGGCAAACTTTTTCTTTTTTTCACTTGCACTTTTCTGGCACTGGATTGGATTGTATTAGCTCATTTGAAGTCAGTTCTTTATAGAGAAAGAAGCTCTGGAAGAGTGGGTTATCCTAGACAACTTCACTCAACCTCCAAATATTACAGAAAAGATAATGGCTCAGCAAGCATGAGTTTTCCAAAATAATGAGAATGGTCAGAAGCTGAGCCAAGGCTTGACTTAGATCCCCAATTCCTAACTCAGGTGCCTTGCAGAACACTACAGTGCTACAGACTTACATTAACACCTGTGTCAAGGACAGGAGTTCTCATTTGAAATTTCCTAATTTCAAAGAGTCTATACTTACACTACACTACCATTTGACTATAACTACCACTTTGATGGGCTAGAAATCCTTTGAAGATATACAACTTTTTTACTTTTCCTGTAGATATCATCATTCCATGAACTTGTCTCCTCATGAGTCTTGTTATTATGACTCCCTCACCCTGTCCAATTTCTTATGTCTCAGAAATATCAGTTTAGGGCTTCATATTTTGCACCAATATTTCGACTACGTTTTTACTTGGTGGGAAATTCCTTTTTTTAAGATAATAATACTATGATTTTTTCTCTCAAACTCTAAAGAACCTATAGTTTTAATGTCTGTAGAATTTTATTCATTAAACTATTATAATATGGGCACTATTTATTGAGATAAAATTACTCCATAAAAATCACACTAATATGAAAGGGCACTTAGATTCTATTAGTCAACAGTGATGGACTGGGCATAAAGATTCTGAAATTATATGAGAGATTCCTAAGAAGATCAATCATATTTAGCTAGGAAAAAAATTGCCAAGACCCATAGGTTTTTGACAACATATTCATTTCTTCCTTTAGTTAAATCAAACAAATCACGTTAAGCAGGGAATTAAAACTGCTTTTAGTTTTTTTTTTCCTTCCACTCTAAGAATTTCGAATTCTGAACGGAAAGCATTGGACTTAAAGTTTGTAGATCAAAATTCATACTGAACTGACCAACCTCTTTTTTAAAGCTATTTCATTATCTTGTTTTTTTTTGTAAACAAAAAGTACATACTCTCACAACTTACATATACATATGTACATAAAAACATAAGCAAAGAACTTTATATTTTCATAGTCATACTCTTAAGTTTTACCAGAAAAAAATATGCTTCCTATGTTTCAGAGAAATGATAGATTTCTGATGCTTAGTGAAATTCTTGGTGTAATAGAAATGATATAAAAAATTCATATTTCTAAAGAAAACGTACTAGCATAAAGAAAAAAAATTTAAGTCTGTCAAAGAATACACTGAGGAAATATACACAGGTTGAAGTCAGCAACCAAGGAAAGGGCAGAAATCCTTTAGAATCAAAATTTATATTAAATTTGAAGGACCAGACAGAGTTTTGGCAGTGGAATCCACAGACAGACTGACTGACTCACAGACAGTTCGACAATTGCCAACATGAGTGGTGGGAGGGCTGCCAAAAAGCAAAAGGCTGGGACTACCATCCAGCACCTGGCATTCTCAGACTCGGATTTGAAGCTTTCTCTCTTATACTGCATCCAATATTTTTGTTTGGCTCCAAAGTAGTAAGGATTCACAGATTTTTTTAGATCATTTAATGTTCTTATTTTTAAGAAATATAACATTAGTTATAAAAGAGCACACTTTTTCTCTGCAGTGTAAAGAAAATTTTGATGAACTGCTTTAAGCTCAAATGGAGAAATCAGTGTTAAAGTCTATTTAATTCTTTATTAGATTACTCTTAGTCCACAGAGTAAAAAATACATACAACATGAAATAATTCAGTGATTCATTATATCATTAATTCTTACAGACCTTGTCCTTTTAACAGATCTACTTCTCTGACTTTTATATGGCCCCAGAGGTACTATTTGAATAAAAGTCATCCCCTATGAGGGGCACCAAGGATAATGAAGTGTGGCTGCAAGGAGAGGTAGTTGCTCAACTACTTCCTTGAGTGATGAGGAAGGCAGGAGGACCAAACAATTTTAGGAGATACAAGAGATATGTGCTCTGATTCTAAATTGCATTGTCACTGAATTACTGGCTATTGAGGTATGAGAGTTTTGGCCTATGACTGTTTGACAAATTCCATTGCTAGGCAAACCATCTGTTATGGGAATTTTTTGATCAAACATATTCAGAGAAGCCTATTTTTCACCCAACTTAAAATTGTGCATATCCTACTGTGAAAACTTACCTTTGGGTCTCTAAGAAACAGAGCTTTAAGAATCAGTGAGTGCACATCCCCGATGAGTGGATAATGCATCAGAAGGCCAAGACAGGTCTGGTAGTTACTAGAGATCACTAAAAAAAAAAAAAAAAAAAAAAAAAAAAGAAAAGAAAAAAGAAAAGAAAAAGAAGAATTCAAATACAATATTGAGATATTTTATATTATATTACTGAAAATATAAAACATAACAACTTAGAGCCAAAGAAAACAAACCAATAATTCAACTGATTTGATAAAAGGAAGTAAGGAGAAGATATCCTTATCAAATGGCCTTTGAAGCAACACACTGCATTATTAGCAGCAATCTAATACACTAGTGCTTACCCTCAGGGGGTGCTGGGAGAAAAAAGCTTTAGATACAGTTATGTGTGTATTTTTGCAACATAAATCCTTAGAAACATGCATACTTACTACCATTTATAGGACTGTGCTTTGAATGAATTTTGCTTTTCTGTTTAGAAATTAGTAACAAGAACCTTATGAATGGGGAAGAACCAGTTAAAAATTCTCATAAAACAATATTTGCCTTGATAATTATGTTTGATAATTTATAAGTTATAGTTACTCTCTTATGTAAATGTTATAAAATTTAAAATTAAAAAAGTAATCTCCCAATTCTTTGTTTTTCTGAAGGTAAAATGAAATTTATAGAGAATATCTATGAGCATTTCATTGGAGAAAAAAGTGACAAAATCTTCATAGATGAGTCTAATTGTGTTCTGCAGACTGTCATTTAATTTTTTTTCAAGTCAACCTAATTATAGGTGCAATTATTAAACACATCTTTTCAGGCAGGTCTATGTAAACTACTTTGCTTCTTTGTAATCTATCTGCCACTGCTGTCATAGTTGGGCCCATTAGCTATACTTGTTTGTGAGGCATATCGACTGCCACCATATAGCATTGACTGTGAACAACTTTACAATTACTTCCTGTAGTTGTATCCGAATCTTTTTCATGAACTTGTCACTTGAAAAATATTCCATAGGGAAATAACTTATTCAATAGAAAAAATGCAAATAAAAAATAATTATTTCTAATCAGAAATATACTTGATTCTTAGTTTCCTTTTTTCTGCTGCTGTTGGAAAAGCCATTTCTTGCTATAGCTTCCTCTTCCTCTCCCGTCCCATGAGTGCTATGGGGAGAAGAGACAGAACTGGGCAAAATGAATAATTAGAACCTATGTAAGGAACCACTTTATCATCTTCATTTCTGTTGTTGATCTGACAGCTTATAATTTCATACATCTGTTTTCATTTGAACAGCACTCACTTATCTACCCTATCTATATCTGTTCAGACTCTTCTTATTTGTTCACTTTTCCGTATTTACAGTTACTTGTCCTTTTTTTCTCAAAAATTAAATAAAGACAGAATGAGGGTAAAATAGTATGTTTTCTTGTACAGTTCTCTTTGAGAACTAATAAGTAAATAAACTTAGATAAATCAACACATCTTACAACTCAATAAGTTATTTTCTCAAATGCTAAAATGATAATATATATTAGTAGCTGGCCAACAAAGAATTCTAATTATTTTGCATGAGAGAAAAGAAAATTCTGTAAAAAGGGTTTTAAAAGCTCAGTGCTCAAAAGATGTGGGTCTGAATCCTAGGGCCCCATTGGAATTTTTCATTAAGTTGCCTAAAATGGTATAAGCAATGGACTGACTTAAAGCACCCTGTTCAAAATCTGTTTGGCTACCTTCTGTGAGCTTAAATTTAGTATTCTGGAAAACAACCTCCTGATTTTTAAAAATTATCTACTTCATGCAATTCAATAATTATTTGTTGAGTACCAACTTCATGACAAGCCCTATACTAAGACAGGATGTGGAAATAAACAAAAAGAGTCTTTGCTCTCAAAATTACAGAAGGGCAGAAGTATAATATTAGCAGCTGTTACTAATACTTACTATTAAGATGACAATGAATTACTCAAGGCTTCTGCAAACAGGACCCAAACTAAGAACTTTACTCCTTTGCATTTAATTGTGATGACAACTTTATATAAAGGTACAGTTATTAATCCCTGTTTGACATATGAAAAAACTGATACTTGTAAAGGTTAAATCACTTAAAGGACACAGTGATTCCTTGTTGGAGAAGGATCTAAAATACAGAGGTCTAACTTCAGGGTTTATACTCTATATAATACAAAATTCTGTTTTGAAAGGACATTGCTTTGAAAATCATGTCAAAACAGATGCAAACGTAAACAGAGAAGTCTATATTATTACTCTTTTGTAGTAGTTTTAAATAACCTAGAACGTCAATATAAACCAATGTCGAGAATAGCCTGATATAGACAACATTTAATTGAGAGGGACCAGAATAATGATCCTATTTCATTGCAAGTTTAAGAACTTTTGAAGTTATTAGAGGTTTCAAAGTACATAAGGGAAGCAAAATAATGTGTTAATATTTTATTGGCAGAACAAATGAAGGAACTAATATTTGTCCTCCTTCTCTCCCTCCCTTCATTCCATCTTTCCATCCATCCAATAATGCATGCAATGGACACTTTCAAAACATCAATTAAATGCTAGATATTCAAAGACTACGATAGGCATTGGCACTAAGGAATAACAGCAAATAGTGAGTCCCGTGCCTTCAGATTAATACTATCTTCAATTTACTACTGAAAATCTGTATTTTAACAGTAATAGTATTATGGTTTGGATCTGGGATGTTCCCCAAAGGCTCATGCACTTGATGGCTTGGTGCCAAAACAGCAATGTACAAAGGTAGGAATTTGGGGAAGTAGGTGGATCATGAGAACTGTGATCTCTCAGTGGATTCATCCATGGATGGCTGCATGTACTACAGGGAGATGGTATTATTTGGAGAATGTTGGACACTGAAGGGTGTGACCTAGAAAGGCTGATCATGTTCCAGGCCACTTCCTGTCCTCTCTCTGTTTCCCAGCTTCCAGAGGCTGAACAGCTTTCTCCTGCTGCATTCTTCTGTCTTCATATTCTATTTCACCTCAGGCCAGAGCTGACTGACCCTGGATTGAAACCTCTAAAACTGTCAACCAAAATAAACTTTTCATCCATTAAGTTGTTTATGGTATTTGCATCACAGCAACAAAAAGTTGAATAACAAAGAACATCTGTAACTTGCAATTACATATGCTAACTATCAAATCCTTTTTTGAATAACTAAGCCCAATTTAGAGTAGGTAAAAGGATTATATGTTGGTTTACAAATAAAAAAGCACAGATCTGACAGAATAAGAATTCAGTTTTTTCTTCATAGTACATTTTTGTTGAACATGAAAAACTGGTCTGTAATAATATTCCTTATTCTGTAAGGGTCCGGTGAAGCGTTGGAGAAAGAGACCACACAAGAGACTGGCTTCATGCAATTGGCAGGAGGGAGTTTATTGAACCAGCATGCTGGGGCTCAAGGCTCACTCTGGAAGGGAGGGCAGCCCAGAGCCCAGAGCAGAGGTCAAGCAGAGCTTAAATACACTTTTTGGAGGGGGGCTTTGCATACATCAGAACAAATCATCAGGGAAGATTGAACAACAACTCTGAGACATGATTAGTACATTCATTGGCGGAAACAGAGTGGACAGGGGTGATTGGTCACTTCTAAGCGGGGTACACATTTAAACTGATTAGTTTTAGGGCCTAAAGGACTACGTGACACACTACACAGAATCCCAGGTTATTAGACAACCAGTGAAAACAGTGGAAATATTTACTGGACAGTTCCAGTATTGTCCTAATAGCTACAGGGATTACAGGTTCTGGGGGTAGCAGAGGAATTTTAACAATACCTAGTCTTTCACTTTTTAACTCGGGCCCTGCAGCTTGGAAACTTTACAATGCCCGGTCTTTTACACTTTAACTCAGGCTTTGTAGTTTAGAATCAGCTTAGAAATTTTACCTTTACAATTCAATGTTTATTCTATCAGAGAAGGGTAGTTATACGCCAGGGGGAAAAAAAGTGAAAAGTTTAAAAAATCCTGAGTTTTAATGTCTTCCTACATTTGAAATGAGAAGTTTATGTTTAAAACCAAAGTACTGAAGCATACTCTGAAGAGTTGATGCAAGGAAGGTAAAAACAAAGGTGAAGGCACCTGGGAAAATATACTGAATTTGGAATCAGAAGATCTATTAGAATGTTGGCCCCAGTTACTTATTAATGCAAACTGCTCATCTTCACTCAAACTTTAATTTCCCCCATTTATAAAACAGGGACTATGAAAGCTGTCAGTACTAACATGTCCACTTTTGTCAAACTAATAATGAGGCTGGGAGACCATGAAAGAAGGGCCTTCTTGAGGGCATGCTGCAACAGGAATCCCATAAAGGACTTTCCTAACCAGAACTTTCCAGTTAAGCCACTTCTATTAAGACTCTCTTCAAGCAACAGTCAATACCACCAAAGAACAAGTGTCACTACCTGGGACAAGTCCCTTATAACCAATGAGCCTCATTTCAAAATGGCTTATATGGACTTCTCCTTTTGCCTTTAAAAGCTTCCCTTTGTCCTACCCCCTTGTCTGTACTTTCAGTCTACCATACCAGGCATATGCCAAATTGCAATCCCTTGCTATTCCTGAATAAACGCTTTGTTTACTGAAAGTCTGTCTCTCTGCCATTCATTTTTAGTCAACAAGACAGAAATGCTTTCTCTATCTGCAGGGTTTCTCTAAGGGTGACCAAGATGCCACACCGAGATTTCCATACTCACCAAATTTTTATTTGATGAATAGTGCTACTCCACATGGAAGCAGAGCTGACTTCTCTTTCTCCACTTTAAATGCCCCACAACTACTGTGATGTAGTTGGAGAGAGTTGGTTTACATAGTTTTCCCCAGTGAAAACAGAAAAAATAGTGCAATCAATAAAACTAAATAGGGAATGTGATTGTTTTGAGAAAGTTTAAAGCAACATGAATCCATAACTTATCTATAACTCATAGCTAACTATACTTATAACATTTACAAATACATTTTTCCAAATTATTTAATTTTATATGGAGATATATTTTCTCAAAGTAACAAAACAAACTGAGAGCAACTACTACAAACCATGACTTTGTAAGTGATAGCTAAATTA